GGCCATGCCAGCGTTACTCATGAGTTCTGGCCCGAGAAGAAAAATTCACAATCCTTCTAAACTCAGTAAGTCTACCTGTATAACTACATACACATATCCTAATTCTAATTAAGATTTCATTGATTATTCTACAGAAACAACTAGAATTCTACTATATCATGGTAACAGTCTAATGCTATGCTGGTGTGCACTAAGGTACTCCAACAGGTTTCTTTTTATTATTATTTTGCAATGCTATTTATCCCCAATTAGAACTCAACGCACAGTGCTTCAGCGAGAAAGTCAAACAAGTGTGCTAATAGCGGATTACTTTGTTCATAGCTCATACTTCCAAGAGATGACATTTAAGAACTTCTTACTCCTAGTATGCCATGTGACTGCTGGATATCTTGCAGCTTTTCACATCAGTCTCATTTAAGTTGTTTCATAACAAAAAAGAACCCTAATTTGAGCAATACCTAAGTAATAATTATGGGGAATACTACTCTGTTCCAGGCATTTAAGTGGCATAAAAGATTACAGTACCCAAACAAAACAAAAATATTAAGTTTACAAAACTGCCTTGTCATGCTTAAGTAAAAAAATGTTATGAATTCCTTATGCATAATGAAGATAAAACTGAAGGACAAACCTATCTAAATTTTAAATTAATAGTCCTGAAAGCTTGCATGACCTCTTGATCTCTCCAGCAGAGCATGCAGACTAGAGAAATCAGACAATTTGTTCCAGTGAACTAGCTTTCAGGTTCAATTCCTAAGTTTCCCTTTTCTGTTAGGTAACATCCCATAGTTTCTACCATTTTGCAATCTCTTATCATATTTACTGTAGAGTCTAATACACATCTTTTTTCAGTTTCATCAGTTAAATCCCAGGAAATGAATATGGAAAACAGAGTTTCTTGTTCAGTTGATTTCAATGTATGCCCATTATCTGTAAGGAGATGCCAAGACAGCCCAAACAGCTTGTATACGCCTCTAGTAATAAGACTTATGGCTACACACTTTCTTGCTATAGATTTCCCCTGCCTCCTGCTAGCTTTGTACATGTTTTCAGTTTCAACACCAGCTTCAAGCAAAGCAACTTGCTCTTTTGTGGATTTTTGCAGTCTTGAAGATTGTTTGGGGTACTAAATTCTTCCTACTTGCCACTAATCTCTAGTTCTTGAAATAGCAATGACCTTCAGACAGCTTTTTACTGTCCTATACCAAGGAAGCCTAGATGAGCCACTCATTCACGTTACGAATGACTGAAATTCTGATACCTTGTTTTTATATATAATTTTAGGATGAAAGTAAAGACAAGAAATTGAAAGGAAAGTAACAAAAATCATGAATTCAACAACAGAAAAGTAAACATAGGTAGGTCTGGGAACTACTAGACAACTATCCCGATGTGCTAAAAAGCGGGATTCTGTGTTACTTCTAGGACTTCCCCACCACCACCTTTTTAAGGGGGGGTAAATTGTTCACTTTAATGCCACGACTCAGACAGGATGTGTTCTGTGACAAAAAAACAAAGATATTGCAGGGAGGGATGTGTAGCTGCATATTACATATTCAAAAAGCTCTCTTTTTTTTTTAATTAAACTGAAAGGGAAAAAAACTAAGCAACAATTCAGAAAGCAAGGAAACGTGCTGATAAAAATATATAAAGCAGCACTTGCCCAAGATGGAAGATGGCATATCTATTTCACATTCAGTAAGACTGACCCAATAACCAGGCTAGAAATAGTCAATGTTTATCCAGCTTGCTCTTAATTGCCCTGTCTGGGATCCCCAAAACCAGAGACTAAGAATTTAAATCTGGCCTCTGTTCAGAAGTATTGTGTAGAATTCATTACATTAAAATATTCCGAGAGAATTAAAACTAATTAATGATCTACTTCCTTGGCCAGCTTGCTCAGGAAGAGATTTCAATAAATGTGCCAACACACAGTTCCTTGTACAGGAACAGTAAACTTGTAAGTCTAAAGCAGAATGACTATTTCAGTGTCTTGAAGTCTAACAAAGTCTGAATTTATTTTAACATTCTCTTCTGTTTTGCCCATTAAGAAAGTTTCAGACTTTCATTGTACTTACTGAAACACACTAAGGAGACAAACTTCAGACCAGGTAAACATAGAAGCAAATCACCACAGGGAAAAAGAGCTAATTGTTTCTGTAAAATAATCAGCATTTTAAGAAACTGATAATAAAAGCCAAGAATTTATATTACTTCATTTCTAAAAAAGATCTGTATCCAGAAAATCATCACAAAGCTTATTAAATAACTTACCTTCTTCATGTACTCTGTGACTGGGTTCTGTTGCAAGAATTCAGTACTTTCTCGTGTATAAAATCTCTCTGTGTCAGCAAGAAACTGAGATTCAAAGGATTCTTTATAGACAGTTAGTGTAGGTCCTTTTGCAAATGCATCATCTTCATTCAGTCCTAGCTCCACTACGGAAAAAAAACAGAGCAAGCAATGACAAAATTGGTTTTTATGAAGTGGTCTCTTGCAAATAAACAGGTACTCTCCTTGTAACTTACATGAAGGTAATAAATTGGGGCAGTATCAGCACCACTTCTTATTTATTTTGCATTTAAAAAATAAGCAGCACAAGACATTACTCATGTAAACTGTACTTTTTGATACATTACTAAACTGATGACTGTGAAGTTTTCCACAGTCTATCTCAAAAGCTAGTTCAAATTTCCCTTGCATTCTTTCCTCTTAGAGTTCCAGATTATATGCATATTTTTTTTTTATTAAACTGGTCATTAATGTGTACGACAAAATTCTCAATTTCATGCAAATGCGAAAAAACAATCCCACTCCGCTTTGTTAACTACTATGCTTCACCCTTCCAGATTTAGCTCCTAAATAACTGATTCATAAACAGTTGTGCTTTCAAGCTTTATGAATATGGTAAAATCAACTGAAATTGTGTCAACTGTCTCTACAAACATGAAGTTAAACAATACATAACTGCATTTATTTTACTGTAAAAATCTTTTCTGGACATCCAAGGAGATGGGATGCTACTCCTGGGCTCTGACAAGGGACATATATTTATTTAAAGAGAGTAATAAAACCTTAAAGAAATCTCATTTACCATAAGATTGTACAACTCCACTGATCAGCCTTGTATTGATAGTTTCACCATTTCTTTCCTTTTCAATCAATTTCAACACAGCATTTGTTACCTTAGAAAACAGAGATTAAAAGTAAAGCACAGAGAAAGCAGCTGGTAGGTCAAGCACTGTATTTAATCAGGAGCGTACTCCTATATTCAAGACAAGTCAAGCCCCTTGAGAACAAGTTTTAAGGACATCTGAACAGACAAAATTCCTACATACATCACAAAGCATGCTACACCTTTACATTCTACAATGTAACTCCAGACCAATTAGTGGTGAGCTGTAAAAGGGTATGAAAGTGCTTGGTGTTTTTTATGATTATTATTATTTTAATTTCAAAAAGCACCTTCTAAATCAAACTTCTGTTTGCTTTATACCCGAAATACAAGAAAACTTTGCAGTAAGAGCTGAACTGACCACCCGTACGTTGATAAATAATGTGTTGCAATTACTGTTCCTCAAAACTGAAATATAGCTAACATTTTCATAATATAATATAGTCTTTTCACCATGAAATACTGGTAAATAAGAGTGAAACCAACATACATAAATATACTATTTTGTTGTGATTGAATGTCTTGTTTTATATTGTGCTGATCCGCTAATTAAAAATAATTGGGTTGACCTGAATCTCCCAGGCATCAGTGTAAATTTAAAGATTCACAGCAACGTTAGAAGAGACCGACATCCTACGCCTGTCACTATCTGTTCTCACACAATCCTGACTCTCAAACCTTAAGACATGACCGTCAGCCTGTACTCCTGCCTGGCTTGGAAATGGCTCAAGTTGTTACTTCAAGGGTCCTCTCAGCAAAGAGATAATAGAACAGTCTTGGTATTGAGGTTCAACCACATACACAGAGAAAGGCCCATTCCCCTCAAATATTTATCTTTTTAACATCACGAAGGAGAAGGAGATGGCTCCCTTTTATTTTCTGGGTCCTTGGAACAGTTACTAACAATATACAAAATTAACCCAAAAAATAACATGTAGTTTATATATATACCTGCTTATTTAATGGCCTGAATAAGCAGTCTCTCCAGGTCACCAAGGCAAGCTAGAAGCAAAGAAAGGGAGATGAAAGATGAAATAAAGAAAATATTTACGTATATACACATATACATGCAGGATAACTCCTTAAGGAAAGCTGATATAGTATGCTAAATAATCAGAACTTTTTAATAATTGTATTTTGGCACACACATTTCTCATGCAACAAGACTGTTTCACAATAAAACTACCATTTGCTTTATTACAAACTCTACCTAAGACATCCCCTTTTCTGACAGTGATCCACTTCCAACTCTGAAAACTAACAAACCCTGCAAGTTACTCTGACAATACACAGCTTTTTTTATTGGCGATTTTCAGGCTGACACAGTACCTTAGCATTAGGCTGGTGAAGTTAAGAGGGAGGGAAGTACGGATACCAACTGTTTTTCTACCATATGCAAAGTTATTTTAGTGAAGCTGTAAAATAACATATCACTTTCCTAATGCTTCACCAGCAATGACAATAATTATCCTTTATAAAAAACCCCCGTACTTTTAGTTATCTGAGATACAGAACTTCTGCTATGTTCTTCCCTTGTTTATATTACTTTACATTACCAAAAAAAAATAAATCAAGATCACGTATCAATCTTTCAGAACTGTACCAAAATAACTTATATTACAAACCAAATGTTGACTGAATCTTAGCAGCTTGGATGCAAAAAAATTTGTAGAGATGTATTGAAGTCAACAGAAGAAAAAAAAAGCAATTTATTTCTCCATTCTATATCTGAAACACTTTACTGAATCCTAAGTGGAATGACAAGGCCATACTGATGCACACAGATTAACAGTATAAGGAGCAAATATTCAGAAACAGACAACCCTCCACAGTCTAATACTGGTAGTCCCAATACACACAAGGCAGACTGAACCTCTCACAGGTTTAGACCCATGGAATTTTTACAAATATACTGGGGTAGGATTATGGAAAGGGGTAGATTTCCACTTTGTCCGCTTCAAAACTTCTGTGAACTGCATACAAGTTTCAAGGAGCGATCTGCAGGATAACACAAACATGACAGATGGAATGGATAAATCACTCACTTCAAAAAGCTACTTACTGAATAAATTTCATATATTCCTTTACGACCTTCATCGCACTCACGACGAACCCAATGTCTATTGAGGTAGGCACATATCCCATTCAATACTTTGCTTGAAAACCTATAATCTTCCCACTGTTGAGTGTAGAATTTCAGCACACTCTCATCCATCAAATCTTCACCATCCTGAAATAAAAGTTTGCCAGTACTGTTAGGTAATTTTAAGGTACAATCAAAATATAGAAGGGTGTACGGATTGACTGTGTAATAAATCTACACCACGCAATGCATTTATAGGAAACAGTGCTAATACATTTACTTCTACATTAATAAAGCACAAGGCCAGATTCAGAAATTAGAGCAGTGGTAAAAAAACTGCACAGTACAGATAAAGCTCCAAGACGACACTCCTGTCCCTCCTGTGAGAAAGGGCAAGAGGGCACCACATTCGAAACAGCAACGCTGATGAGTGTGCTAGGTAAAACATGCTAGTGCAATGGTAATGAATTCAACATGACAATCTCCATGAAGTACACCACCCCACTCCTGCTGCCGCTACTTGGGAAGCTGAAAGAAGTGAGCATGGATGGGATCTTCTCTAGGACCCTGTCAGGTAGTAAATGGAACTTCATATTCTTGGAAATGGGTATGGCAGCGTATTTGTGCTTGTTATAGAAAAAAAGAAGATAAAGTTGTAACACACAGAAGTTCAAATATCTTTCCAAACTGGACCACTACAGCTTGAATGGACAAGGGAATAAAACCAGGAGTGCATTCTGGATAAGACCTCAAACACCTTTATGCAGCTTCATAAATTATTTTTGCAGTAGACTTGATAGGACACCAAGAATTCTTTTATTATTGCCCAAAACTAAAATCTCAAACGTTAAAAGCATGGTTCCTTTCCAAAAATAACTAGGAATCATTCTCGTACAAAGCAGTCCAACATCCTGTTCTATTAGTAGTTTATTTATTAAATTAAATTAATGGCTACCATCAGGCATTTTCAACATTACAGGTGGCCATTTTTTCAGCATTACTAATACACTGGTTAATTGGTTAGAAAGTCTAGCTATTCTTGTTCAAGATATAGGACAGCTTAAGATGGTGTATACCTTTAGTTCTATAAAACACAGAAACGCTGCTTTAGCTCAAAGAGGAAAAGCGGCTTACAGGTACACTTAGCGACTGATCTATGCCCAAGGTAAAGCCTACAAAATTTTCTAATGGTTTACGGAGACAAAAGCAAGTTTCAAGATCCTTCAATTTACTTCCAGTGGCTGCATACACCTCTATATTTGTTGATACAAGCTTTTCTTAACCCAGTCCATATTAGCAAAAAAAGATTATCTAAAAGCAGATTATCTAATGCCCCATCTTACCTTAAGGAGATTTGTCAAGTAGTTTTTCAGAAATTCTTTTAGCCGTTTGTACAGTTCCAAGCCAACAAACTGAGCACCTCCAGGTGTCTGGCCCTTTTTCGATTTAGAAGGAGGTACTCCAGCTCCCCGTGCTTGATTAGACTGGTGTACGCTAGTACAGTAGTTATAAACATGACTGACAGGAAAGTTAAGGAATACAGATGTGCCAGCATGGGACATTAAAAATACAATAAAACCCAGTATGTTAATTTCACTAAGCTATTTTTATATTACCATAAATGACTTAACCATAATACGTTGTAAGACACATTAGCCCACATAAAATCAAACCAAAGCTAAGAAAATGAAGTAATTTTCAGCAGAATTTTCTGCTGCAGAAATGTCAGACTGTTGAGTACACTGCAAACACCAATGCCAACATTAAATTTACTTAACACTTACTTAACAACACCACCAAGAAAAAGTGGTGGAATTTGCTGATAAGATTTTCAAGGTTTCAGTGGAATTTACTTGATGTATTATAGGGGCCTTCTACAAATACATAAGCTTTCATTTGAACAGGAAGAAATTTCAACACTAGCCTCAAGCAACATTCAGTAGTTGAAAACACAGAGGATATTTTTGCATTCTTTCAAACACAATGCTTTATAAAAGATTTGGCCATTTAACATTGCCAGATGGGACAAACCTAGAAAGCAGTAATGGTGATACACATACACACACACTTGAACGCACACCATAAGAGAACTTTATGATGAGATTCACCAAAATGCAATTTTAGGCTACAAGTACAATCCCAACATTTAAGTATGTGGTAACAATAATTTTTCCTCTCATACTAATTCAACCCGGAAGACTTGCTGTATCTGTTAACATAACATTTCAAGAGAACATTCTGTTTTCTGATCTAAAACATCCAAACATTCAGAATTCTTCCAAAGTAGTAAGTGGAAGTCACATTGCTTGAAACACTTCAAATAAGAAACCATCCTGAAAGAAACTGCACTCTGCAAACAAGGAAAATAAACTAACTTGGTAGGACTCAAATTCAACTTGATGAGGACTCAGATCTGACAAAAAAAGTTACGCTAGTAACTCACCAAGCAAATGAATAGCCAACAGGAACAAAGCTACTGAGCACTCAGGCTTCTACTGACAGTCTGAGGACAGGCTTTTGAGTCACATCCCTTGTTAGGGAACATCATATTAAGCAATCCACAAGGTCTAATTTGGTTTTAACTTGTGTTTTAACTAATGGGCCAAACTTTAACCACTAGACAGGCTTCCTCCACAGCATGCCACATATTAGGAAATTAATACGTTGCTGAGATTTGCCTTTTTATTTGCCCTTCAGAAAGACCAGTACAATATAATGGAAGACATCAGCACAATTAAATACCAAGGGAACTATAAACCTCAAATATACGATGCATTACAGTCATTATGAACAGACTTGCTTCTAGTATTTAAACAGTAAAGCTCAAGCAGAAAAGTCTCTTAAAATATCCAGTTAACTCCCTTGCAATTACTTGAAAAAAGCTTCAGAGATAAATCATATTCTTAAACTAAGTTTAAGGATCAGGGTATCCTGCATGCCCCCAGGAATAAGGCTCATAGTCTTTGTGTCAAACTGAAAGGAAAGTCTGCTTACAGTCTATACTCATGTACTTGTTCAGAAAGTCATCGTGTTCTGTCCAAAAGAGTAAGGCTCTTAGGCTTTTTGCCAAAGATTAACACTTTGTGAAAACATACAGCATACATTTATTTCTTACCTGTTACCTCATCCAAGTGCCAAATAATTAGATCTCCCATGATATCAACCAATAACATAAAACCTTAATTTGTGCTTACAAACTGAACTTTTATCAGTTTCTTATCTCTATCAGCCACCTACTTCCTGGACATTAATGATTTCTTTCAGCTCCTAGTTGTTTGTTTGTTTGTTCAACTTTCCTGGCACTGTTGATACTTTTACGATCTACACTTCAATTTCAGAATTCCATGTTCAAGTGAGGAATGCCACACAGCGTAACAATTCTTCTCTAGATACAAAACTTTCTTTTCACAAACAAGAAAAGCAGGGCTTGCCTCACAGTTTAACTTTAAAATAGTTAATATAAGGTCCCCTGAATTCTCTATGGAAAATCTCTCCATCACAATACAAGGAATTTAGGGCTGATTCATAAATACCTAGTTGGCAGTCTTGCCTCCTCCTTCCCCTAACTCTCCTACCCCAAGTGGCTTTGAACAAGCCTAAAAATACGAGGATTGTCCAGACAATGGGTAATTCTTGCCGTTTTTGTGAATACTGCCTGATGCAAATACTCTCTCTGTTCTTCTCAACGAAAAATCACAACAGCCTTCAGAAAAATAAAAGACCAAGGTTAGAAGACATAAGCCTTTTTCTAACCCCCTACATTTTATTATTAAATTGATTCCTTGTGAAGTAAACATTGAGAGAGACCAACCTTTTGGTCTATGCCTAACAGTAATCAACTCAGAGTTGGAATAAAAATATACCAGTAATGCCCATCTTTATTTGTTATTCTGGCTTGTGTCTTGCTAGCCGAAGCGTCCAAGACAGCACTTTTGAAATGTTCTAACTTAGTTATTCTATGCAAGTCAAACTGAAGTTAGTTTGCCCATGCAGAAGGCAGTCTGTAAGTGTAAATAACTCTTTGACATATTATACATAAAAGAATGCTCTCTTACACTTTTTGTTTACAATCTGTGTCCCCATCTGCTAAAGTCAACTACTGACAGGAAGACTGACACATCCAGAACAAAATCAGACTTGCTGCTCACAACGAAGTACTTGACAGTCCATCTGAGAATCACAAGGGGAACACTATGAGAAGAATTCTTGGTTGCAGGAGGTAAACTAATCCCCTTAATTGCTTCCTACACTGGAAGCCATATACATATCCAAACTGCTATCAGGAAACATTTCTGTGGGTGTTTGCACAATTCCACATAGCAATTTGCGTACTACAACAAGCAAGAAGTTAATTCATCAATAGAATAGTATGCACCACAATGAAGCTGCACTGCTTCTCAAGCTTCTGGCTGTTGAACTTCAGATTTGGCCCAGCAAACAGACAAACCATCTACAGGAAGAACAGATCAAGATCAATCTCCTCTAACTTCTACACTTTCCTTACAGTGAAGGAGAAATTACATTTACTTATCTAAATTAAATTTTGAGGTATAAAACTGCGATAAGTTTATAAATTGATTCAGCATTGTGCAGTTTAAGATAAAAAAATAATCTTTTTCAGAATTTTATTACTCTCTGAAACTCTTCAAAATGGGATACAAGCAGCAGCCAAAGACAAATTAATTTTACAGTCTTTGTCTTCAATATAATTCACACTACTTTTGACAACCTTGACTCAGTTTCTAAAGCTGGGCAGTACAAAGGAAAAAAAAAAAATCCCATGCTGATACACCATAATGAATTTATGGCCTTATTCACCTCCACTGGAGGAAGTGATCCTGACACATCAACCCACCTGGAGGGCTTACTTGCCACCTGCTTTTCCAGTAGCATGGGAACTCATGCAGGCAACCAGTGATTTGGACTGGGGAAGCGACTGCTGCTACAACTAACTGTTGTCCCTGTTCCCAGATCCTTTGCTGAGCTGATCTGAACTACTGTGTCCGCACAGAGGAAGCTAAACAGACTCTTTCAGTAGTAGTGCACATACTTTTTGAGCAAGTATGCCATCTAAACAGAAGGTTGAGGGCACCACGGTCACCTCTAATCTACCCTCTGCCCCAGAAAAGTACCAAAATACTCCATACAGCATTTTTTTCCTCCAGAAGTGTGAGCAGAAATTATGTGAGACAAGTATTAGTTTTGTAATTCACCACACAACATGAAAACTCTCAGATTTTACACTGATGGGTGCAAATTACTCATTTTTGCATGAGTCCCTAATTTTAAATTTTTTATAAAGAAAACAGTTCTGCTGAGGTAATAACCGATTCCCCTTTCAGCAGTACAGCTGGGTCCCCACAGTTTTTCCATTTTGCTATGAAAAATTAATATAACTGGAACAAGTCTGCTTGAGGAACAGATATGTAAAACTAAAAGGAACTGAAAGGAAAGCAGAATTAACACAATCTAGCACAAAACTATAGGGCAGAGAGAAACAACAACAAAGCTTTTGAAAAGGAGGAAGCACGCAACAACAACAACAAAAGCTGAACAACTCTCTAATCAGAATTCCTCTCTCATTACTTCTAGTCTCTTTATTATAAAGATCAATTTTAGGCATAAATTTGCTATTTCACAGATCTAAAGCAGTAATTAACTATGCTGAGTGCTCTGTCACCTCAATAGCTGGCCTGCAGAAACAAGTCGAGATTAGTTCCACTTCTGTCAAAAACTTCTATTTTCCTAGATTACACCAAAGGCACAAGACCAACATATAGAAAGTTACTGAAAATACCGATAGGAAAACTGCTAGGAAAGATTATGGAAGTTTTGTATCTTGTAAAACCACTTCTAATACAAGCAACACAGCTTACTATATTTACTAGAGAACAACTTCAAATATTTTCTTTAAAATTAAATCCATTTCAACTCCTGTGGGTCCAGAAGATTAGGCTGTATGAACATCACAAAACCACCTCATGCATAAGTAAAGCTGCTAAGAGAGGTGGACATGCCTATGTGACTTTAACATTTCATAAGTCAAACAGATGAAGGAATTTTGCACAAGTTTTTGAAATTATGAGTTTGCCAAAATTCAATCACTATTCAGAACACATGCTTTAAACACCCACTTCAGCTTTGTGAGGAGCAGCAGTAAAAACAACAAAAAAACTAACCCAGAAACCTTCATTCTTTTCAGGGAGATATCAGCAACAGCCTATTTTAAGTACCTTCAGTTTGTCATCCAGTAAGGAAGGGTTACAGATACCCCACAAAGCAGTTCAAAGAAACCAAACAAAAACATCAAGACCCTGCCCCCAACCCCACACATTCTCCATCTGTGTTTCAATACACTTTATCCTGAGATCAATTACTTATTTAAGCCTTTAGATCAGATACCATTGCACTATTAAACCATTCCCATTTTAGTCAGGGAAGGACTGAGGCAGAGACTGAAGGAGCTGTTACAGCATCAGCTGTGCAGCTGCTATGAAAATCCAGGCATAACTGAGCTC